TTTTACTAGCGTGATTAAACACGACAAGTTGATTGAATAAAGATATCAGTAAGTAAAACATTTTTGTTAAATCTAAGCAGATTTATTTAGAAGTATCAATGAGAAAGATTTGACTTTATGTCTTTTGAAGATGCAAGGAAATAAAACTAAATATTCAACAAATACAAAAACAAAGCAAAAAAACAAAAACAAAACAGAAACAACAAAATGTCTCCATTAGATAATTTTCTGTTAAAGAAATGTAACATCTACAAGATATATATATATTCTAAACCAGTGGTCAGCAAACTGCGGCTCGCGAGCCACATGTGGCTCTTTGGCTCCTTGAGCATGGCTCTTCCACAAAATACCACATTCTAAATTAACAAAAATATGATTTTAATGCTCTTTTTTCCTTTTATTTTTTCCCTTTATTGATTAAGGTATTACAAATGTGTCCTTATCACCCCATTGTTCCCCCTTCCTCCCACTCATGCCCTCACCCCTTTGGTGTCTGTATCCATTGGTTATGCTTATATGCATGTGTACAAGTCCTTTGCTTGATCTCTCCCCCTTAGCTCCACCCTCCCCTGCCTTCCTTCTAAGGCTTAATATAAGTTTAAATGTAAAACACACAAACAAAAGCCTATAGTGAAAAGAGAGTCCTGGTCTTAAAGTCCTATTAATGTGTTAGCCATACAAACTAGAAGACTTTAAAGATGGATTAAGCCATTATTTAGAATAAAATTTGCCTTGGATGTATTTATATGATGTGTATGTAAAAGAAAAAGTAAATGACTAGTTTTAAAAATCAGAATATACAACCAGAAATTCATAGATTTTAGACCTAGTATTTTGAGAAATGAAAATATTGTACTTTGGGCTGGAGATTTTATTTAATCAACTTTTCTTTATTGATGTGAGATAAAAAAAAAAAAAGGTTTGAACTATTATCCATTTTAAAGATGTAATTATTTCTTCTCCCACGGAAGACTTCTGTGTATTCTCCCAATGATTTGTGGGTCAATCTGTTATTAAATAAATATTGTTCATAGGAGCGAACTGAGAACTAAAACTTTGAACTAAATAGTATACATTTTTATCAATTTCAAATAATTCAATTTTTCCTCAAATTTTATAGATTTGATATTAACTTATATGGAAACAGAACCAATATTTTTCCAGGGTAATAGCATTAAAGATATACATGCATAAAGATGTAATATTTTATAAATACATAAAAATAATGCTGTACTTTATTCTAACTATATCATTTTTATTCACTTAATTATGAAATAAAAATACATTTATAAAATTACTTTTTTAATTCACAAGGAAGTTTCTACAAACACTGTCTTTTTAAAAATATATTTTTATTGATTTCAGAGAGGAAGGGAAGAGAAACAACAGTGATGAGAGAATCATTGATTGGCTGCATCCTGCATGCCCCCTACTGGGGATTGAGCCTGAAACCCAGGCACATGCCCTGCCTGGGAATCAAACTGTGACCTCTTGATTCATAGGTCAGTGCTCAACCACTGAGCAACACTGGATATGCATATTCTTGCCATTTCTTATTCCACATTATGTGTACTGGTACATGTAACAACATGGATAAACCTCCCAGGCACAATGTTGATTAAGCAAAAGAAGCTAAATAGCCCTAGCCAGTTTCACCCAGCTGTTAGAGTGTTGGCCCTTGGACTGAAGGGTCTCAGGTTTGATTCTGGTCAAGGGCACATACCTGGGTTGCAGGTTCGATCCTGGGGCTCATGTGGAAGGTAAGCAATCGATGTGTTTCTCCCTCTCGCCTCCATTCTTCTTAAAAAACCAGTGAGAAAAAAAAATCTTCAGGTGAGGATTAACAAAAAAAGAAGCTAAACACAAATGGTATGATTCCATTTATAAAAGTTCAAAAGGAAGCAAAACCAAGCCATAGTGATAGAAGTGAGAGTCTTGGCTACCTTTGGGGGCATAGTGGTATCATGGGCATCTGGGGTATTATTAATATTCTTTTTTTGACATGATTATTATTAGGATGTGTTTATTTTTAAAAATTCATCAAGTTGTATAAATGATGATTTATGCAGTTTTCTCTATATATAATACTTTAAATGTTTAAATTTAAAAATCAGGTCATTCTGTTCTTTAAACTCTCCAATGGCTTACCATTAGACTTCTAATCAAACCCCAGGTCCCTACTCCCTAATCTGTAGCCACACTGGCCTTTTTTCTCTTCCTTGAACAAAGAATGAAGCAAATTCATTCCTATCCCTTTTCCTTGTAGTTCCCTCTACCTGGAACACTGTTTTCCAAAATCTTAACGTATCCCCTGCTTTTTATTGAAACTCAGGTCTCTGCCTTTCCTGAAATCTAAAAGCAGTTCCTCTGTCACTTTGTATAGAGCCCTACATTTTTTCCAGAGTAATTTTCATATCTGCTATTATCTATTTCCAGACAGTTTCTGGTTCTCCTCATTAGAATGCAACACGCATATTTTCAGCAACTTTGGATGTCTGGCTCTCCGCTGTGTCCTCAGTGACTAGAATTCTACCAGACAAGTACATAGATGTTCAGTAAATAATTAGAACATGAATAAATTTATAGATAAATGAGTGAATGAATAAATGAATTAGTATTTGTATTGCACAGAAATTAATGACTGTTGATTAAATATGAAATGTTTTTAATCAGAATAAACCATTTTTTATTTTATTGTTTAAGGTATTACAAATAATAGTACATATTTCTCCTTTTTTTTCTCCCCATTGACCTCCTCCTGGCTTCCTCTACCCCCCACCGGGCCCCCCCCCAGTGTCTTGCGTCTATTGGTTGTGCTTATATGCATGTATATAAGTCCTTTGGTCGATCTCTTACCCACCTCAACCCTCTCCTGCCTTCCCACTGTAGTTTGACAGTTTGTTCAATGATTCTTTGCCTCTATCTATTTTTGTTCAACAGTTTATAATGTTCTTTATATTCCACAAATGAGAGTGAGATCATGTGGTATTTATCTTTCACTGACTGGCTTATTTCACTTAGCATAATATACATGAATATGAAATGTTTTTAGTGGAACTACATTAGGCAAGGGAAAGTGTTATCCAGTGATTTTTTTAATCCCTTAAATGCTATTATTGCAATATAGCCCATTGAAAGGGCCTTGAGAAAGATGATTTCAACAGCCTGCACTAAACTCTTTTACTATTTCAAATAATATAACATTAAATTATTGTTTCTGATAAATGAATTTCCAATAAATTAATTGTGTTTGATAATGATCCAGCTTCTGTTATCTCTCAGTGTTATTGCTGAAGCTTCAAAGGTGAATAATTTTGCATAATGATTATATGCTACATTAAAAACTGGAAAAGTATCAACATGTATTTTTTCCGACATACTAAATGTAGATTCTAAACAAGTTACTCATGAAACATCTAAGCATACAATATTTCTATACAGAAAGTAGCTTATTATCTAATTTGCTTTGTTCACTTTCTAAAGAGCTTCAGGTTCAGGTGGGCACTTAAGTGTTTTTTGATGGTGATGATAATTTATTGAAATTTCTTATACATAACATTTTCCTTACAATGCTTTAGCACATATGGTCTGTTTTATTCTTGCTAAATTTTGCCACTTGTAATATTTCATTTTCCCAGCTTAAGCTGTTCTATGGTTTACAATTCATAACAATTTTTCGTCTTTTAGCCTTACAATGGAATGGTCTAATACTTATGTTCCCTCAGTACCTCATATTGTAGTCAATAAATGGTGAATAACAACAAACGAACATAGAATTTAACAAATGTTCATGAAAAGTCATACTATGAAGGCTAAGTGAATAAAAGTAATATATTATTATTAAAATTAGGCATCTTTTGCAAACCATACTCAAATAGCTTATTATATTGCTAGTTAAGACAAAAGTTCAATCATAGAAACCAAGGTACATTCTTAGGAAGACATATTTGGACTGTAATGAATGTGAAATAAAAGTATAATTGTCTTAGACTACTGTAATCTGTGAGTTTGATATAATTGTTTTTAAGATTGGTGTTCTTCATAACATCAAGAAATCAGTAGTTATTACGAATTTACAGTGTTTATCTAGCAATGTCCAAGTGGAAAAAAAGCCTTTAAGTATTAAGTATTTGTGCATACACATGGTTTCACTTGATTCTTACCACAACTCTAGGTAGTAAATATTTAGCTTATTAATTATGGTTATTTAAAAGTTTTTGTCTTCCAGCTCAAATATCATTTCTGAGATTGATTTTATTAGCACTTTTAAGGTTACTTTTTTCTTCTTGGTATGTGTTGCTTGTTTTTTTGTTTGTTTTTTACATTTAGTAGAATGTCAAGTTATGTTATCTTCCTCTTAAGAAAGTTGATCACCACAAGTCTAACAACGTTGTGCCTATGGTCAACAAAATGTATTATACAATGGAAATTTTCTCAAGAGGGTAGATTTCATATTATTTGTTCCTATCATGATAAAACCAAGTAAGTTTTAAGCTTCGTTACAGTGGGTCCATTTCTGTTTGCTTGTATTTTTAGGACATCTTTGTAAGTTCTAGGGCAGGGGTGGGCAACCTTTTTGTGAGTGCGTGCCAAAACCAGCAAAATCTCTGACTCAAAATTCTCCTGCGTGCCAACCTTAATTTTTTGAGAACATGTTACGCCTACTTGATATCACTTAATGCGTATGTGACGAACCTTGAAGAAATAATAAAGTCCATTCGAGCGACAAAACACAGTATATAATGATGAAAAATACATTTATTTTTTAATGTATACGTGTACACTGATAGTTTGACAGAAAACTTTATGACTCTATTTGATATTATCAGTGGGACTTTTGGTGCTGCATCACTGATGACAGAGATTTTACATCAGGTTTATATCTCGTGACCTTCAGAGATATGCACGAGTTACTACTTTCATCCGTCAGGCTACTGCTATTTCAAGACTTAACAAAATTCATTACTGAGAACAAAGATTCACAAGTGTATGTAGATGAAAACATGGAGAGTAATGCTGTTGCAAAGTTTTTTTAAACAGAAAAAATTTTCTGGAATGGCATTCCAAGTCCTCAGAAGTTCGTTTTCAACACTATTGAAATTGCACTTCTCCTCTCTCGTCAATCCATGTCTATGGTCTTTAAGATAACTTGTTATGTAAAATTATTTATTTATCTAAGATGCACCTACACTGCTTTTATCTGAAAAATAAAAAAGCCGATATTAAGAAAAAAGTTGTAAATGGAAGATTATAAGAGGGGGTTTCGCGTGCCAGCAAAAGTTACTGGCGTGCCATGTTTGGCACGCATGCCAAGGGTTGCCCACCCCTGTTCTAGGGCATAGGTTTTCTGGGGTGTCAACTAAAAATCTAGTGTGTTCAGGAAGGTCTCCCTTTGGATGAACCCAGGCTCCAATGTCTCCTCAATATTATGCGACCTCTGAAATTTCTCTCTGTCTCTCTAGCCTCTTGATGTTGTTCTCTGTTTGGCCTTCTAGAATTCCACCCTCCTATGCTCAAATTAGGAGCTGGCCAAGGACCCAAGGGAGAATTTATGCCTATATTTTTAGAACTCTTTTCCTACAATTCTTCTACAGTTGCTATCTGCCAAATTTCAGCTGCCTTTATTACCCCAAAGTTTTTTTCATTGTCTCCTCCATCCAGTGAGTCCACAGCTCTCCTTGGACTCTATTAATCTGTGCTATGATATGGAAAACACCTTCAGACCCATGAATGGCCAAACAACCACCTTCTCTTCCAATTTATATTTAGCCTCACGTTGTTTTGCAACCATTAATCTCCGATGATGTTTTCTATCACCTAAAGAGGCAAGCGTTGTCTAACTGTATCCTCAGTTATAGACCTGTTTTACATGAGTTTTTCTGTCAGTGAGCTCAACCCTACACCCTCAAACTATACCATATCCACCTTTCCATCCTAAGGTCTTAACATATGCCTCAGGCTTCAGTATTGCTACAGATTAGCTTCTGATTACTAAACCAATTTTCTAGGAGAATACCTATGCTAAAGGGATGGTGTTTATTCATTCAGATGCCTTTATCTTGTGTGTTATGTATGGTTCAAGCTTCTGAAATATCAGCATTACTCATTTTGACAGAAGCCAGTTGGGCTAAGACAAAACCGAACTTCTGCTAGTACTATATATCAAGATAATTTCAATGTTAGAGGTTCTCGCTTAGCAGGCCAGAGTATTTTTCTGTTCAGAATCAATTAACTTGAACACTACCTCTGAAACTATCTAACAAAAGATTTAAGAGATCTAAAAGCTCTTCACTGAAGACAGGAGTGTTATCTTCCTTTATCCTGTTTCTAAAATGGTCACTTTCATAAATAGTTGTATTAATCCCAAATTTGTCCAATATATTGTGTAAAATGGAATGAAAAGAGAAAAGAATTGGTACAAAGTAAAATGTGAAGACTTCCAGCAACTTAGTCCTCTAAAATAAGTGGGAAACTGTTCTTTTTTTAATGTCTGAAAGATCTCCCTTTATAGGTCTGCTGAGTTGTATTTTGTCAGCTCCTATTAAATTGTGTTGTCATAGATACCTGTGAATTCTGCAGAAAGACTTTATTTCAGCTTTTATAAGCCTCTGTAAATAAGGAAAGAACATTTAGAATCTCTGATTTTAGTGAGACTATTTAATTCCTTGTTTGTTTCTTTTTAAGTTTCATGTACTTAACAAGCTACACTCTCGGTATCTCAGCATATTAAAGAAGTCTCAAGGGACATTGGGAATTTGTAAATAGTCTATTTTTTCTAACATATGTGAACAAAAATTTAATTACTTTGTGAATATTTGATATGGCTTCAATGACTACACATTGCCGTGCCTTTCCAGTTAGAAATACACATCTGGCCCTAGCCAGTTTGGCTCAGTGGATAGAGCATTGGCCTGCAGACCAAAGGGTCACGGGTTTGATTTCGGTCGAGGGCATGTACCTTAGTTGCAGGCTCCTCCCCGGCCCAAGCCCTGGTCGGGCCTGTGCAGGAGGCAACCAGTACATGTGTTTCTCTCACATCAATGTTTCAGTCTTTCCCTTTCTCTTCCACTCTCCCTAAAAATCAATGGAAAAATACCCTAACCCTCCTTCCGGCCACCAGCAGGCACCGGAGACCCAGGCTTCCCTTGCAGCCCCCGCTTCGTCCAGAAGGATAGAAGGATGTCTGGAAGGATGTCTGCCTAATTAGCATAATATGCTTTTATTATTATAGAGTAGAAGGCAGACTTAGATTTGTTAAAATGTTATTGCAAACTTTAATGCAACTACTACAGTTTTTTATAAAAAGGTATAATATATATGCTAAGAGAGAAACATAGAATCACATGAAACATAAAACTAGAGAAGGAAGGAAAATAGGGAGGAGGCAAAGAGCAGGTGGAATGAACAGAAAACAAAGATTGTAGTTATTAGTCCAACTATACCAATTATTATTGTAAATGTGAATGGTCAAAATATACCAACTAAAAGACTAACATTATCATAATGTATTATAAAGTAACAAGACTCATGGAACAGACTGAGGAATTTCAGAGGCAAGGTGTGGGAGGGTGGGTGTGTGAGAAGTGATCAACTAAAAAACTTGTATGCATATATGCATAACCCATGGACACAGACAATAGGGTGGTGAAGGCCTGGGGCAGGGGGCAAGGGCAGGCTAGAAGGGGTTAATGGGGGGGAAGGGACATATATAATACTTTCAACAATAGAGATTAAACAAAATAAAATAATAGGACTATATGTTCACTTCAAATATAAAGACTTAAGATTCAGATAAATAAAAGTAAAGGGATGGAGAAAGATACACCACACTAAAATATATCAAAAGAAAGCTATAGTAGCTACTTTAATTCAGAAAAAGCTAATTTCATAGCAAGGAAAATTGTCTTGAATAAATAGACATTATATATTGATAAGTATAAAGGCATGAATCTTCAAAAAGACATAACAATCCTAAACACATATGTATCTAACAAGGCAGCATCAACATATGTGAAGTAAAACTGATAGAAATGGAAAGAAATAGATAAATCCACTATTATATTTGGAGATATCAGCACTCCTCTTTCATTAATTGATAGATAGGTCAATCAGAATATTAGTAAGCATATAGTTAATCTGAAAAACATTACCAACCAATCAACTTAATCAAATTGATATTTATAGAATATTCCATCCAATAAAGGCAGAAACTACAATCTTTTCAGGTTCACATGAAACATCCACCCAAATAGACCATATTCTGGGCCATAAAAGCACACCTTCACAAGTTAAAAAAGACAGAAATCATCGAAAGTATCTACTTAGACCACAATGTAGTTAAACTAGAAATAACTCAAAGATAAATGAAAAATCCCCCAAATATTTGGAGATTGAAAAATACACTTGTTAATGACATATTGGTCAAAGAAGAATTCCCAAGAGAAAATTTAAAAATATTTTAAATTGAGTAAAGAATGTATGTTGGGGTACCTGAACGCAGTCTCCATGTTATTCATTCTTCACCGACTCTATCCAAACCTTTGGGGACCCCTGGACCTGCTGGGGTTGGACCCCAACAAATGTATATACAAGTTATCAAAACTTGTGAGATAAGGTGAAAGGTAGTACCTAGAGGGAAATTTCTAGCATTAAATGCATGTATTAGAAAAGACAAAAGTTCTGAAATCAATAATTCTTATACTTTAGAAAAATATAGAATGAAGAGACATTTGAACCTCAAGTAGTTAGAAAAGGAAACAAAATTAGAGCAAAAATCAGATATTAAAAATAGGAGAACAATAGAGAAAATCAACAAAACCAAAAGCTAATTCTTTGAAAGGATCGATACAATTCATAAAGCTATATCCAGGCGAAGATAAAAGGGAGAAGGTAGGCTACCAATATCAGAAAGGAAAGAGGGGTCATCACATTGCAGGGCCCATTAACATGAAAAGGATAATAAAGGGATAGATACTTTGCCCACAATTTTGACAAATAGATGAAATGAACCAATTCCTTTATAGACACAAAGCACCAAGTAGATAATGTGAATAGTCCTATGTCCATTCAAGAAATTGAATCAGTGATTACTAGCCATATAAAAAAGCACCCGCCGAAACTGGTTTGGCTCAGTGGATAGAGCATCGACCTGCGGACTGAAAGGTCCCAGGTTTGATTCCGGTCAAGGGCATGTACCTGGGTTGCGGGCACATCCCCAATAGGAGATGTGCAGGAGGCAGCTGATCGATGTTTCTCTCTCATCGATGTTTCTAACTCTATATCTCTCTCCCTTCCTCTCTGTAAAATATCAATAAAATATACTTTTTTAAAAAAAGCACCAAATTCAAATGATTTTACTGGTGAATTCCACTAACCATTGGGAAGAAACAATACCAGTTCTCTACTATCCCCTCCAGAAAATCAAAGTCATTCTATGAAGCCACCATAACCCTAATACTACAATAAAATAAAGACATTATAGGAAAGGAAAATTACAGACCGATATTTCTCATTAGCATATACTTTACACCTTATACAAAACATATCTCAAAATTGAACATAGACCTAATGTAAAACACAAAGCTATGTAAAACACAAAACTTCTAGAAGAAAATCCAGGTGGCATTGGATTTGGTAATGAGTATTTCAATATAACACTTTTTAAGGGCATCACATGTGGGGGAAAAAAGTGAAAAATTGGACTATTGTGTTTTTAAGCAACCAGAATTTAGGCATCCAGGTATATGTATGTCTACATCTATTATGCATTTAGTTGATTTCCTATCTGATTATTCTCTGAATGTGTTTTTATTAAGCATATACAAAGTATTAAATATTAAGCATTAATTGAAGGTTTAATATGTAACATCTTTAAAAATAGCTTTCCCAAAATAACTTTATACAGGGTGTCCCAAAAAATGTACACATACTTCGAATGATTATAAAGTCAGTGTTTATTAACATACAGTTCATTTTCAAAATTTAAAAGAATCTACAGAAATGAATAATTATTTTTTGTCAAATGCCTATTGTCAAACTGATGACTGCTGATATCATGAAGTAATAGAATCACAAACATCAAGAATCATTTCATTTGGTATTTGTGCAC